GTAGTTCTAGACTAGCTCTACACTGTAACAGAACCGGTTTTTTTTAATAACCTATGTTAATTATTAATAAAAATTAATCCAAAATTTTATTAAAAGTTATTAAAGAACCTGTTCTGTTACAGTTAAAAAAAAAAAACATATAATTTTGTTTGTTGGTTGTGTAGAAAATGTACCTAAATTAGTACAAATTTATATGTGAAATAACCCTTTAAAAAATCCGAAATTAATGAGCATCATATATGACCCTAACTAAGTTTATTGAACACCATAGTAGAACTTGCACGGTGAACCTTATGCGGGTACAATCTCTATTGTATCATAGCGATACCTGTATTTTTTTTTTTTTTTACTGTATAATTTCTTGATCGATCAAACTATCAACATAATCGATTATTGATTGACTTACTTTTGATCGAGCCATAACATCGTGCTCGATCATCAAGCCAATTATCGGGGATTATATGATCGAGGCAATTTAGATGGAGGTGAAATTCACCTCATTTAATTATGTCCATTTGAATACTATTAAATTCATGAACTTTATCATGAATCAAAGACGAGTTTACTTCTCGAGTTTTAAATACAGTAGACTCTTTAAAACTAATTGAAGGTTCTTATACTGCAGTAAAATTTTTAACAATTCATTATATAACAATTTTTCTGATATAGAGTGGGATCACTGTAAAAAAGATTTGCTATAAAGAGAGTTGATTGTATATAGTACTTTATAAGGGTGCCCATTTTCGGACTTTCAAAAAGTTTCATGACCATGTGGCGTCTTCGTCGCCCAAGTTATTTAAAAAATCAAAGAATACTTAAACCTCGATTCTAAGCTTTATATTAGTGGTATGCATTTACTTGACATGTGCTTTGCACTCTTTGAATATGTGCCAGGGCCGTAGCAAAATCATGGGACGTGTTATCCATAATTCTCAAGTTGTCATTGGCTAACTGAGTTTAATTCGAATAAACATGATTACCTTGTAACACATGAAAAAAATAACAAAAAGAAAATTTTTCATGATCATAAGAGTTTGCCGGATAACTTGTAATAGATTTATCCAAAGTGGTATCCGGCATTTTGGTAATCATTTTTGATTTCTTGCAAGAAAATATCAACCTCTCATTCTGCTCAACCGAATTTTGTCTTTTTGCGACTTAATCAGAAATATATCGATATTTGTATGTATCAATATTATTAAAAAAAAGAATCCAGATGATTGTAGAAAAAAAATTTTGTTCGTCAACTCCATGTGCTAACGCCAATTTTTTTCGTCGTTACGCTCAAAATACATATCATTATTAACTATTTTTGAAATATTGTTAACGTTGATCAGAAAGAGCATGGGAAAATTCAATAAAGATAATATTATAAATTATACATATGATATGGAAATGTTAAGTATACTGTACGTACTTTAATAATAAAAAAGGTGATTATATTAATTATATAGCGATAGTAATATCGATTTTATACTTAAGTAAACGCCTGTAGATCTCCCACAAAAACATTAATCAATAAAAATCAAGAGGGGTAAAATTTTTTGTGGGAGAGTTACGACACTTTAAGTACTACGTATTTCTGCATGATTGATTGATTGCAATTAATTTTGATCGCTGGGGCTTAGGTCAATCTGGCACACATTCAAGACGTGCATTCAGCTGCTCTCATATAATATTCAAAAGCCTTCTTTTCGTCTTTCTTAACACCATCATCGAATTCATATTTTCAACCAAGTTCATAAAGTCATTCGGAGTCCATTTTTGTTTTTTAAATAGAAAAAAATTAAACACTAAAATAAATATATTAATTCTGGAGGACATTTAATGTTGAAAGTGATACAAAAGTTACACCATTAGTTGCGCTTTTGATGAACTCATTGACTTATATTATCGTATCAAAGAATAAAATTTAAAATTTTTTATTTTAGTGAAACAAAAACTGAAGTTTTACTAAATTAAGTCATAGTAGTAGTAGTCGTAGTCGTAGTCCATTCATTAAGTAAAAGGGTCCAACTGATAAATTTAGCTATAGGCTTGATTGGGTTAGTTGCCCTGAAACGTGACCTGAAGCAGGCACGTGCCCTCGTGATTCCGGGTATTTCCAAATTTAGGTTTCCTGGCCTGGTTTCATTTTCTACAGGGGGATCCCCAAATTTCCGGGTCGTAATGGCCGGAATGCGTTGTGGTTAGGGTCGGGGTTAGTGCTGGGTTAGGGTTAGTGGGAGTTATAGACTATAGTAAAATTATCAGCTGGGCACTTTTCACTTAATGGACGACTATTGTTTCATTAGTAAAATTCTTAGTGATCTTGGGGCAAAATCGATCAACTCCGGCCCTTCCGACCAGAGTTCTGAAGCTTCCGACCCGGAATTTTGGGGATCTCCCTGTAGGAGTTGTCTCGGATGATGCTATTTTTGAATATACTGTACAATGCTCAATCTATATATCATCTATTTTCAGTGGCCTACCTATTATGCTATACAAAGTTTTATTTTAATCTGACTTTTTTTTATCATAATCTGTCACAATTATTATGATTTATTATAAAGCTAATCATATGCATCAATTTGTATCAGTATTGGGAGGTTATCAAGGTTGAAAAATTATAAACTACCAGATTAATAAAACAGAAACAGACATGATAGATTAATTTTTATCAGATTTGGCAGGATCGGTTTTGAGAGGTTCAACTGTATAATAAAATGGTGCAATGCTAAAAATTTTTCATATTTTGATAAAATTGTTAAGCAAAAAATTAAAACTCATCGTGGGTATTGTGAGTCAGGATAACAAGACTAATTTTCCCTATTGGACGCATAGAGATCTTGCTTTTGATTGTACGAAACATAAATCAGATTTTGAAATTTTCAATTCGATCAAATAACGGCACGAATGTTAATATGAAACATAAATCAGTGTAAAAGTTTAATAAGAAACATATCTCATACAAGGAATTTTTTTTGTTAGGACACACAAAAGACAGTTTTGTAAACAAATTTTAAATACTGCGATTTTTGAAAAGCTTTTTATTACACGTTAGGTAGCTATTTAAAACGATAAATTGGCAAATTTGATTCGCGGGTCTGTTACAGAAAATGAGTCAATGGCCGATTGGCAACTTACTGTATACGGTATAACATCTAATTATTTGTTACTTTATTAAGTTAGTGTCATATTCGAATGTAACATTATCATGTAGAAGACTTTAAACGGAGCGTTACCAACTTTTATAGCTTATTAAATATACAGAATGATTAGTGCGTTTTTCATTTACAATCAAAAGGGTGAAGTTCTCATCTCACGTTTATATCGTCAAGATCTGAAGTATGTACTTCGTTAAAATTTTAAAACCCTTTAAACTACTAACTTCACGGTTGAATTAATCTATTTTAGACGATCCGTAGCAGATATCTTTCGAATACAAGTAATATCCAATACTGACATCCGATCACCCATAGTTACGCTTGGTTCTACATCATTTTTTCACGTTCGACATGAAAACCTTTTTATCGTTGCTGTTACAAAGTGCAATGCTAACGCCGCATTAGTGTTCGAATTTTGCTATCGACTCGTAAACATCGGAAAAGCTTATTTTGGAAAATTGGACGAGGAAGCCGTTAAAAATAACTTTGTGCTGGTGTATGAGCTTTTAGATGGTTAGGATTTTTATACAGTCAGATCTCTCTAAATGCACCCATAAGGAAGCAACATTCATTCAGAAAAAGTGCAAATATATATAATATATATTTGGGTCCAAATTATACTTGTTGACACGTTAAATTCCAAATTCTAGCAAACCTCATATCCCAGAAATTTTATTAATAACCTTTATTATAGCAGAATTTGAGTGTGCGTTAGAGAGATCTTTCTGTAATTCTATTAAAATTACAAGTTTTACCTATTTGTACTGGTCATTTTTAATTTTTTTCCAGAGGTTCTCGATTTTGGATATCCACAAAACAGCGAGACTGACACACTGAAATTATATATTACCACCGAGGGTGTCAAGTCTGAACGTGCATTAGTATGTCATTATATATATATATATGGATTTAATCAGACCGATGTAAAGGTTATAAGATTTAAAATTTTAGAAAGAAGATTCATCGAAAATTACAATTCAAGCAACTGGTGCCACTTCGTGGCGAAGACCAGACATAAAGTATCGGAAGAATGAGGCTTTCATAGATGTTATCGAGTCAATTAATTTGTTAATGAGCGCCAAAGGTACAGATTTTTCATATAATATTTATATTATTTTAATTTCATATAATTTACCTTTCATAACAATCAAGGTACTACATTAAGGGCTGACGTTTCTGGGCAAATTATGATGAGGGCTTACCTCTCCGGAACACCTGAGTGTAAATTTGGATTGAATGACAAATTATTGTTGGAAAAAGATACTTCTCATAAAGGAATGTACGTATCTAGTTATATTATATCAAGTAGCTTCTCAAATTCATTTAATTGTTTATTAAAGGGCAAGGAAATCTACTGCTGTTGAAATCGATGATTGTCAATTTCATCAATGTGTAAAACTGGGAAAATTCGACTCAGATCGTACAATCAGCTTTGTACCGCCAGATGGCGAATTTGAATTGATGAGGTTAGAGTTCGTTATTTAATATACTAACTATGTTGATTGAGATTGTACCTACAATGTCATATTTATTAAATTACGAAGGTACCGCACTACTGAAAATGTGATTCTTCCGTTCCGTGTCCATCCGGTAGTCAATGAAATTGGAAAATCTCGTGTCGAATATCGGGTCACAGTAAAAGCGAATTTTCAGCCCAAATTATACGCGAATAATGTATTAATAAAGATCCCCACACCACTTAACACCGCCAATATCAATGTTCGTGTCTCTTCGGGAAAAGCAAAATATGTACCAGATGAAAATGCAATTGTTTGGAAGTAAATAATATATATATATTATAATATATGTCGCGTAGAGTTTCAATCCGGTTAGCATTTATCCGGATAATTATCAAATATCCAGATAAAATTTAGATCGGATACTTGGATAACGGATAACAGATATCCGTTTACTATTGGTATCCGGATAATTATCCGATTATCTATCAGATTATCCGGATATCTGATCTGTTTATCCGATCTGAATTATCCGGATAATTCAGATATGGATAAACGGATGAAAGATTGGAACTCTAATGTCGCGGGTGATCTACAGAATTGGCCAATAGGATTTTTAGGTTTCACGATCATCCGCGACAATATTTTGTCTATCAATGCAGTCGTTTTGTTCACTGTTTTATATAATGATAGGATTCCACGATTCCAAGGACAGTATGAAGTAATGCTAAGTGGGGATGCCGAACTTTCTGCAATGACAGTCAAAAAGGCATGGTCAAGGCCGCCAATATCAATGGATTTTCAAGTATTGATGTTCACATCTTCAGGATTATTAGTGAGATTTTTGAAGGTTCTTGAAAAAAGCAATTATACTAGTATCAAATGGGTAAGGTATATGACAAAGGCCGGAGGTTATCAAATTAGGGTAAGTTTGAATAATATTTGTTGCAGAATTTATTTGTATAAAACTAACAAGATATTAACGTGTTTCAACAATAGTTTTGATATTCGATTAATTAGTTGTATCACTATTATGCAGCCAATCATCTCTATTATTTTTATTATATATTTTTTAATAATGTATATTTTTTTTAGATATGTCACGTGAAATTAGCTATTAAAAAAAGTACGATCGGATCTTATAGTGGTATTATTTACAATGCGATCCTTGTATGTAATTAGATCCTTGTACGTAATTAAATGAATTTTATAAAATTATATAAATTATATATATCTATTAATAGTAAGATATATATTTAAATCGACTCAAATAAGAAAAATAAGAAATAAAGTTCGACGTTGTACAAATATGAGTCTTATATCATAAAACCTCCACTATTGAGGTTAATTTATTAAACTATTTTGCATCTTTTACGACTCATAATTAAGTACTGGCTACGCAGAGAAAAAATTGCAAAGTTGTTTCTTGCCTGGAGCAACAACATTTCACCTTTCGGCGTAAGAAATAAAGATTAAGCACAAAAAGGTCAATCTTTTTCTTCCTGGCTTTGTACCTGCTTTGTTCTTGCTTTGTCCGTTGCCACTCTTCAAAGCCTCTTGCAATAAACATTTGTCTTTCCTTTTTTAGTGTGCTATCTTTTACTCAATATATCCCTGATAACTCCGCCTATAACAAAAGCATTTTTCGGGAAACTAACCTTTCTTAATTAAAGTTTTGACAAACTTCTGGTCATATATATAGCATTTATATCCATGCCCGAGTAATTTTGATTCGTGCGTGGACCAAAAACTTTTATCTTTTTTAATCAAGAAGCTTCATAATATTGCTGCTTCTTTGTAATATACGTACTGAACACTTGTATTTATACCGGTTATAGTAAAAAAAAAAAGACATGGCTTACAATCCTCAGGGCGGTAAAACAGGTTATTATCCACCTCATAATAGATTTTATGAAGGTGGTAGAAGCAATACCGGCTATAATAGCAATAATCAGCAGTATACAACGGGCGGTTATAATCAAGAGAATTCATATTATCCTGACAATAATAATAATAATAATAATAATAATAATAATAATTATTATAATTATAATGATGGAAACAATGCATATTTTGATAATGATAGAGATGTATATAATAATAGAAATTATAATTCTTCTAGCACTTTTCAAAATTCTAGGTATTTATTTATCTCATCATATTATTTCCAATTAAGAAAACTTTTTAACATCTAATTTCAACACAATCAGTCGTATTCCCCAAGCGCCCTATCAAAGTTCACCTGCTTATTCAAGTTCACAATCAAGTTATCCAAGTTCCCACGCAAATTTGCCACATTCATCGGGTTATGACAAAAGAGATCATTCGAATAAGAAATTTCTTCCTCCAGGACATGCTTCGTATAAACCACTTGATTCTTATTTAGAAGATAAAGAAATGTTACCGACTGCTGGATATTCTGCTGTCGCACCGGCAACAACTGGGCCACAGCCTCCAAAAAATTACGATACTCAAAAGTTAACTGAATTCGAAGACGAACCTAAACAGGAGGCAAAACATGGTGGTTTGATGAAGTATTTTTGTTGTGGAAGTCGGGCTTCATGTGGAAAAACTTGTGCGATTATATGTTGCATCATTCTTCTCATTATTATTGGAATTATAGCAGCAGTTCTGTTATTCGGACGTGTACCGTCAGTTGACTTTTTAGGAGTTGTGAATTCCCCCACCGGCGCTCAACCATATGTTATGAAAGCTTCTGGGTTTGACTTTAACTTTGGTCTTCGTATCCAAGTTAATAATCCTAATGTCATTGGCGCAACATTCTCGATGATAAAGGCTGTGGTAATTATATATAAATTTAATTTTTGCAAAATTTATTCTATTATTATTATTATTATTGAAGCTATCTAATAATATTAACAATATTCATTGAACATTACTTGAAACTAGGCGTATTATCCAGGTCATCAAAATGCGATCGGAGGTGGAAATTTGACTAACGTTAACATTCCAAGTAAATCCAACACCACAATTAATTTCCCATTTACTATCAATTATGATGCATCAATTGATCCTGGATTCTCGATATTGCTTGATATTGCAACAAAATGTGGGTTAACTGGTGGTAATAAGACCCAATTGGAAATTGATTACACGTTGACCTTGTCATTTAATGTTTTATTTATACCTTTGAGTCCAAGTTTCCAAAAAACGGCTAAGATGGACTGCCCTATTCAGGTATTATATTTCACTTGCATAGTTTTTTATTCTAATTATTTGGATTCATCTAACTTTTTTTCCTAAATAGAATGGTCAAATACCCAACATACCAGGCTTCAACATATCACAGATTGCAACCGATTTCAGTAATAAGACGTCCAATGCTAAAAGATTTATGTTATTTTCACTATTATGAGAAAATCTCTCAATTTTGATATTTAATTTATTTAACTTATCTAAAACATTTTATAATTTTTATTTTTGTGAAAAGAATATGTATATGGCGGTTTGGGAATTTTTAATAGTAATGTAAATCAAGTTTATTTAAACGAGTACTGCAAAAGCCGTATATTTCATGCAGAAGAAATTACATGTTAAATTTAATGTAAGCTAATTTTTGTTAATATATGCTACACCTAAAACAAAATGTTCTGTTCATGGTAAGATCAAGCAAAACTGGGTCTCTTTGATAGACAATTCTAATAGGTGTACAGAATAAGGGCTTTCTCTAAAAATTTGATGTTTAATCGATAAAATCGGCTTGGCCAACTGATTCGGTCGATTTTTAAAAATTTGATTTAGATTATGTGAATATGTAACTAATAAAACCATAAAAGTATATTATAAATTACCTAATCAGTACTTATTTTTAAAGCTGTCACCAAGTCAGGAGGCTTAACCCGGGTCAGCAGTGTTGGCAAACAACTCGGCTGGGCAACGACTATGTAAAATTTCTATATAAACAATGTATGTTTATTTTCGATTTTGATCTTTATTTACATCTCCTAAATTTACAAGATCAAAATTACGTAACTGATCAGCATTGGAATCTAAAATAAGCAATACCAAAAGAAACTCGTTTTTCTTGGCTTATTCATTTTTAGATTCCGATACTTATTACATAGTGATAGCAAATTCGTAAAATTTTTTGTAAATTTAACATATAAAATCGAAAATACATATGCCGGTATACGTAATAAGATATTATAATGCATTTGATAATGAGACAATAAAAACTTTCGGGAGAATACGGTATTCTATATATATATGGCGATTGAACTATATATAATTTAAAATTAAATTATATTAATAGTTCCGATAAATGATGACAAATGATTTAGTCATTTAGTCATTAAAATTAACGTTAAATGACCCAACACTACGGGTCAAACCCAGAAACAGTTAGTAAGCTTAGTCTTATTATACTCTGCCGCAAAGTCTTCAGTGTATGTGTCATATCATTTTTCTTTGCAAAATTCTGAATATTTGAGTTGCGATTTTGGATTGTTTGCACCATATTTCTTTATTAAGCTTTATTATAAAATTATATCACATAAACTAATTGGTTAAGCAATATTTAACGATGTGTATCATATTCAAAATTATAACCAATCAAAATTCGCAAACCTTAGAAAATTTGGTTAGTGCTAAAAAATTGTGAAAATTTTTTTGGCTAAATTTATGGATCGGAAATTGAATAACCAAGTTATCATAGGCGCAGACCATTTTTTTTTAATAGAGTTGCCCTGTTGGGCTATACCGCGAATTTTTAACAAATCTTCAACAAGGTTTGCATTGTACAGGATGCAGTTGCAGTGAGTTAAGTGAGAATGTAGGAATATAGTATATTATTAATGTTAAAAAAGGATCATACGTAGAGAATATGATTTATTACAGTGAATGACTGATTTGTTGTAAAGTAAATTTGAGGCAAATAATAAAATTTGGGAATTGCTATTTATACCCAAATTTGCTATGTAAATGACAGTTTTTTGTTTGAGCGAAGATATCTTGACAACCACCAAGTCAAATTCGATAAACTTTTTTTATTTGAATTCTATGCATTCGTAGAATTCAAATGAAAAAAAAAAGTTTATTGAAATTTGCCTGGTGATAGACGAGATATTTTAGCTCAAAGTCTTAAAGAGCTCAAAAACTCGAAATTTTTTTATTCTTAGAGCGACGCTCACCAAGCAAATTCAATAAACTTTTTTTTATGAATTCTAAGAATCTGCAGAATTCAAATAAAAAATAGTTTATTGAATTTGGCTTGGTGATTGTCATTCGAATTTTTTTAAAAAACTTAAGGTCTATAAATAGAAGCTATGACAAACATTTTTTATTTTTGGGCGAAGGTATCTCAGTAACTATCAAGTCAAATTTGATAACTTTTTTTATTTGAACTCTATGAATCTGTAGGATTCAAATAAAAAAAAAGTCATCGAATTTGACCCAGTGGTTGTTAGAATATCTTCGTTCAAACATTGGGAAAAATTTTGGCACATCTTCTACCTTTATAGGCGTTGAGTTTTTTAAAAATTTGAACGAAGATATTTTGGCAATCACCAAGCCAAATTCAATAAACTTTTTTTTAGAATTCAGATAAAAAAAAAGTTCATTAAATTTGGTTTGGTGAACGTCGAGATATTTTCGCCCAAAGAATAAAAAAAAACTTTTGATAGACGGTTTGTTTTTTTAAGACTTCGAGTGGAGATATCTCGGTAATCACTAGCAAATTTCAATGAACTTTTTTTTATTTGAATTATTCAAATGCATAGAATTCAAATAAAAAAAGTTTATCGAATTTGACTTGGTGGTTATCAAGATATCCTCACTCAAAGTTCAAAAAAACTTTAATTTGCATAAGGTATGAATAGCAAATTTGGGGTACGAATAGCAATTCCCTAAAATAATAGTTTTTCATTAAATTTTATTAACAGATCATAATATTTATAAAATTAAAAAAGAGTTTTTTGTGCAATTTAAATTCGTTTGTTTAAAATATACTCGTGCTGGTTTTCTAGTTTCGGAAATATAGCTTTTTACAGTATAGTTTTCATAGGCAGACTTTCGTATGATTGGCTGTTTAAATCAATTTAATTTTACATTATTTATACAGTTTAAAGTACTTTTCAAAAAAAAAAGAAAACCACAAAGAATAAACAAAAAAGAAGTATATAGAAGGTTTTATTAGCATTGTAGGGCTTCACTATTAAAAATAATCAAAATTCTTTCTTGTTTTAGAGAAGTTAGCATAATAGTGACTTCTTAAAGATAGATAAAATTACATTGGGTTTCAATCTAAAAGAGATAATTATCAGGAGAGTTTTTTTAGTAGTTTTTTAACCCAGCCATTTCAAACCAAAGAAATAAAGTTAGTGCCTCAAGGGCATTCAATAGTGAAAGCAGAAAGAGTCGGTTATGCCAACTGTAGTTATCACCATGCTAACTTCTCTAAAACAAAAAAGAATTTTAATTATTTTTAATAGTGGAGTCCTACAATGCTAATAAAACTTTCTATATACTTCTTTTTTGTTTATTCATAGTAGTTTTCTTTTTTTTGAAAGGTACTTTAAACTGTATAAATAATGTAAAATTAAATTAATTTAAACAGCCAATCATATGAAAGTCTGCCTATGAGTATAGTTTAGATTAATAAATAGCATATTAGGGAAGATGATCAAAAGTTTTTTAGATGTGAAATGGTTGTATTCTAAAAATGGTTAGTTTTTTTTATTCAATAGAATAACTTATAAAAAGGTTTATATATTAAATTTAAAAAGTTCAAAAAAGAGATCTATAAGTGGAGTAATAAGCAGTGTGATTTTGCTTAGAGGATATTTTCATTATTCTTAATTATTGTATATATGTTACTTTACAATAAAATTACATAATTTAGTAATAAAGATTTATAAACTAACAATATAGGAAGCAGGATAAAGATGTTCAGAACATTAGGTTTTCAATGCAAGATCAAAAGTTTTGGTTTTTTTAGAGAAAGAGCATATTGTAGTTGACAAGCAAGATCTAGTTCTATGAAAAAAGTATAGTTGAAGAATTGAGTATTAAAGATAGTGGTGTGCAAATTAACAAATGCTAGTATGCAATGGTAGTAGAGTTCTTGAATATGAAAACAGTACTAGTTGAACTGAAAGTGAGTAAGAAAGTTAATGTAGCAATGAATAGTTAGTTAGCAGAACATAACATGGGTCTTGCACAAATTGAGACTTATACAATATAGAACATACCTCTCAAAGCGCACCTATGCAAGTATGCAGATGTCTTCATTATTATAGTAAAACAAAATTTATACAGTAAAGACTATATGGCAAGAGTAAGACACTTGAATTTTCAATTAAATTTTAAAACAAAGAAAGAATGAGAGATTTCAAGCAGGCATGGACAATTTATTTCAAGAAAGAAAAAACATGCAGGGTAATGCCTGGTAGTTTTAAAAGAGGAGTACTTGAAGAAAGAGCATCATTTAAGGTGGTAGTTAAGAATATTCCAACAATAGTAGTTGAAAGTAGTAAATGCAAGGGCAGTGTATATTTTTTATAATAGAAATCAGAATCAAAGACATATAGCAACAGTATATTTTGGGTCACATGATGAGTTAAAAAAGGCATTAGCAAGAGAGGTATATTATTTTAATATTAAGCTAGAGTGGATTGATATATGGAATAAAAGTAAAAAAGTTATAGTTGAAGAAGAGACAGGTGAAAGTATAAATGAGTCTCAATGTACCAAGTTAACTATAAGCAGAGGTAGAGAATAAAAAAGGCAGCAAACTACAGAGAGAGTATTTAAGAGCAATACTGAGAACAATAAAAAAAACAGCAACCCCAAGATAGAAGAATCAATGAGCTAAAGTTGTAAATGAAAGAAATGACCTTGAATACAAGTTTAAAAATATTTTTATAAGATGCTCAGTAGACTCGACAAACCTCAGACCTAGTGTTTGAAATTTAATTTTTAAATTAGTTGTGGGCTGCAACCAATTAAAAAAAGCAACTTGCAGATTATAAAAATTTATAAAATTTAGTTGTGCACATGCTTTACAGAAACTAGTTATTTTTTTCAATAAAGTTAAGATAATCTTAAAGATATTATCCCTTAATATGTAGACCAACGCAGGCAAATTTGCCTGTGTTTTTGCACTTTTTTAGCTCTGATTTACTTTTT